CGACGGCAGCCCCTGATCCACTCAATTGCTCCAGAGCCTGTACAAACAAATGGCAGCAACAGCAAACCCCGCAGCCGATGCTCCACCCGGCTCTACCAAACAAGTTTTGCCTCCGAAGAAGACGCTGATCTTCTTCACCTCGTCTTCCTGGATCGGGAGCACCTCCAGCTTGCCACTTGGTAGGGGTTAGCTTAGTCGGGGTGCCACTTTAAAAAGCCTACGAGGTAACTGCGCCACCTCGGGGTTGCCGTTCTGCTGTGCCCCGAACTTGGCGTCAATCCTCTTGATGAAATTGTTTGGCTTCGGCCCGAAGACGCTGACGTAGCTGGGCTCCTCCAAATCCCAGAGCTTGATCGCGATGATCTTCTGGGGCCTGCGGAACTCGAAGTTGATCCTCAGCGCCGGCCCCACAATGACGCCGTTCTGGGTGTTCTGGTCGCCACATTTGTTCACCTTCCTGATCACACCATTTCGTGGCGGGTCCTTGGAGTAGGTGAGCAGCAGGCAGCCGTCCCTGTCTGGGAACTGACCGTTGCACTGCTGCAGGTCTTTGTCAATGGAAGGCAAGAACTTGGAGGTGTTGCTGATCACCATGGGCCCAGAACAGGTGGGGTTGGGAGTGAGGACCTCAGAGCTGATGGTCACGTCTACGTCCGGGACATTCGTGGAAGGAGTGACGATGTCACCATTGCTGAAGTCTCCGAAGTTCAGCTCCGAAGGAATCTGGGCGCCGCAGAAATCCTTCACCTCTTTTGCAGGAGGGTCCATCTTCCACCACTGGTCGGGCCAAGGCCTCCCTTTCTGGGCCGTCTGCAGGAGGCATGCCTCCTCAGCAGTCGCTGGCGCCAAGAGGGCAAGGAGGCAAGCGGAGGCCGTCTTCAGCATGGCTGCACTATGGCTGCGGGGCGGCGCTTCCGGTTCGGTCAAGGTCTACTGGCAACCTTGGACTCGAGGAAAAAGGCAGAACGGGCATGAACGGGCAGAGGCTGCACAAAGATGAGCCTGCACATGGAAACTGAGCGTGGACCGAAATACATCCTAAACTCACACTGAAGCCCAATGCAATGAATGCTTCCATGCAGTCTCCTTGGGGAACTGCAGGCTGTATAGGCCACAAAACCGTGGCCTCATCCATGCAACATTTAGCCAAGACTACTTGCTCGCTGGGAGTCGGCTGGCGCACGACGGTGACGCGAACGGTAAGGGCTCACAGGCGACCCAAAGTCACTTCAAGTCTGGGCTGCAAAAGAATGCTGCTGGATGCTTGAACAACCTTTGAGGACATCCCCCAAAAACCTGTGCTCAGGCGCAAGCAGCAGGGACGAGGGCGAACCTGCGTCGAGACAATGGCAGTGACCCAGCCAGACTCTGAAAATTGTCCTGGCCCCCTTCGACTAGTAAAATTGATTCAGGCTTCTTTGGCCATTTCAATCAGAACAGGCCGCGCTAGCAGAATAAAAGAATCGACTACAGCGCAGCTGTCTATCCCAGTATGATGCTCAACTTTTCTTGTATCACTTCCGAAATTGAGTGGCTTTAGCTGCCTTCGCTGTCAGGTCCATACACCTGGAGGAAGGAGCAGCTCGCAGCAGCTTGCAGCACACCAATTTTGGGGCTTTCCTACACGAGCCAGAGAAACTGGAGACAAGCCAGTCTTGCTCCTGCTGGCGCCAAACTGCCAGCCAGCTGAAGATCTTTCAGACAAAGCTGCATGCATTCTTGATTGTTCACAATAAATGTCAAGTCGAGTCATGAGCAAGGCTGCATGTGGAGTGGGACAACAGCAAGCACTTCAAGAACAACACTTTCAGACAGAATTCCGACTCCACACACAAGCGCTCAAAGCCCTCATGAACCGTCGCTGTGCAAGGCAGGCTCATAGACGGCTTTGTCTCCATGGGAAGATGGACTCCTGGAAGGCTGGCGTGACCTGCAAGACTCGCGCACTTGACTGCCAGCCTCGTCTCCTGTTGCTGGAGCTCTTCGAGGCCTTGAAGGTCTCTGTTGCCAAATAGGGAGGCCACTTGTTCAGAACGCAATCCTCAAAATATGTTGTCTATACACAACTCATTTTCCCCCATGTTGACCCCAGATGGACTCCATAATCTTCCAAATGTTGACCTCAGCTGGATTCCACATAAGAAACCCCAAGCACACCCCGAAACTGCAATTCCAAGCTTGCAGCACTACTTTTTCACAGCAACAGGCATATAACGCTGAGGACTACGCATACATATCCTTGCTAACCCTCCCCACCCTTGCTGAACTTCCAAAAAGTGCAGCCCACATGCTTGCTCAAGGGGCGCCTGGCCTTGCTTATCCTCCTCCTGCTCCTGCATGTTAGGTCAAAATATGATACTCCTGGCACTATTGAGGCCTCAAGTCGCAGAGCCCCAAGCGCCTCCTCCTTGTTCATGGGGTTGGTTCTGGGCTGCGCTGATTCCCACAAGGCTTCGTACCTGCACAGCTGGGCACTTCAAGCGCACGCGTATTTTGAGCAGCCTCACCTTCGGCAGCAATTGGCAAGACGTAGTATTTGCAAGAAGAACAAGTTTTTGTGACAGAACTAACATGATGATAACAATTCTGTTGTGTTTGGAGCTGCTCAGCAAAGCTGTCTCTCTTGTCTGGTAAATACAGAACATGGGCATGGATGCCTACCGTTATGTAATCCCGAACAACAATCCGTATCATCCGTTCATTCTCCCCTTCCATTCCCTATGCACCAGGAAATCTGAGACATTCTGCCGAGCCACACGCGGCCATCACGACGTCCCAGCGCAGAATTCCTCGCAAACGAAGCAGACACACCGATGTGCGCATGTCGAGCTTGATGCAAGTTACAATAGAATATGCAATGAGTCTATTGGACTGCACAATGGTTCGTGGCAACCCAACGACACAGAGAATGAATCTAATTCGCACGCTACAATCGGCTGCAGGAAAAAGACATCGGCCGTGAGGCCGCCTTGGGCCATCGAGACCCGTGCTCTGCAAGCAGCGAGTCCCTTCAAGCTGTTCTAGCCCAAGCCGTCATAGTCAAGTTTTGATCGCAGGTTTGAGTTCAGCCATGATAGGTGCTACCAGTTCTGAGCAAGACAACTACCGCAGTGCTCTTGCTAGAATGATTTTACTGATGATTTACTGCTACTGCTGCGCTTCCTCTCATCTAATCATTGGCAGCCCACCAAGCCAAGAGGCAGCGAGTGGTCAGAGTGACCCCAGGCGTCCACCAGGGGAACGGCGTCAGCCCTCAGAACCTTTGGTTCTGTGCAAACAAAAACCCTCCAACCCAGGGAATTCAGTCCAAATTGCACATGCTGAATATGGATGCAGGAATCTGCCCAAAAAAGAACAACCATGAGTATGATTCAACTAAAGCTCATTCACTACATGTACCCTCATCCAAACTGGTAACCTTGCTCCCAAGCCATTATACTCTTCCAGACCCGTATGTCAACCGTACAACGAAAGAGCCAACTTATAGCCAGGCAATATCCTTTGATCCCTTATCCGCCGACCCCTGGGGCCG